CTTTTCTTCCGAAACCTCCCAGTCTCATCCCATTACAGCATCAGCTGAATCCAGGATCTCATCATCTAAATGCAGTTGACATGAAATCAGAGCTTCTAGGATACAGCTAAAATACACCTCCTCACAGACTGAAGAGTAATCAACCAGTAAGACAAGCTGTCTGCCCCCTACACACCCCACAGCGGTGGGGTAGGTCACTGAAGAATTCTCCCACAGTACTGAAATCCTCGTTCTCCTAAAGAGCCCAGAGCTGTCGCTCTAAAACTGCATCAAAAAGCTAGGCATAGCCAGGTGTGTGGCGCACTCCTGTAATCCCGGCACTTGGGAGTCTGAGGCAGGAGGATCGTTGTAAGTTCAAGACCAGCCTGGGCAACTGAGACAAACTGTCTCAAAATAATAAATAAATAAATAAATAAATAAACAAAAAACCTAGAGAATATAGCTTAGTGGTAGAGTTCCCCTTGGGTTCAACCTTTAGCACTGCAAAGAGAATAAGTAAAATAAAACAAAATAAAGCAGAGGATGTGGATCAACATTGCCTGGATTCAGCACCACAACAAAGACTGATGCTTCTCGGTTCCCACAAGGGGGCGCTAAGAAGTTTCCTCGCGTTCACTAAGGTGGCCTCGATTCGCCCCTGATTTTCTTCAACACGCCTTCTGCTTTTAGCCTTCCTCCCCCGTGTATTTTATATGTATCTTCCTGAGTTCTGTTTCAACAACTGAAGCCCTTTCTATTTTAAAAATCTATTTTATTTTAAAGAGAAAAAAATAAAGTTTCAAAACACAATTAGGGAATATTTAAAATAAAATTGATTTTTTAAAATTAAAGCCAAAACAAATAATAATAATAATAATTAGGAAGTAACAATGGTATATAAATTGCATACTGTACATGTATACCTACACACATGTTGTTCCTTTCAGTTTCTCACACTAGGGGAGACAATATGACGTTTACACATGCGTATCTGATTTATTTCACGGATGAGCATAGTCTCAAGTTGAACCCATTTTCCTATAAAGGACTGGTTCTCTTTACACGTATCTGCTCAGTGGGCCACTTCCAGCTGAAGAGTCACACACCACCCTGTCCCGCTACACCCACGCACACATCAGACCATTCAGCCAGCTGAGATGTGCAGCGATCTTTATCCATAATCTGAATTTCTTTTTCTTTTTCTTTTTTTTTGGGGTACCGGGGGTTGAACTCATGACCTCACGTCTGATGGGCCGGAGCTGTGCCACTGAGCTATATCCCCAGCAATAACGCAAATATTTTTAAAGTTAGAGTGGGGGTGAAGATGTTTGTCTGTTTCTAATGATTCAGCCTTAAGTACTGGTTCTATCCCAGGCAAAAACCAGATAGGAGCTCTCATCCGTGGATCTCTGGCTACACAAATTGTCATTTCTCTGAAACTGGATTTGGACTTTAACTAGTTTAGAAAGAAGCAGCCCAGGGGCAGAACCCAAAGAGAATCTTACATAAATAGTGAGCTTCTAAATTGACCCCAGAGGAGCAGAGCTAGCAGGCTGCGAAACTTCAAAACTTCCATCAGCGACAGTACCTGGGTGAGGGCGGGCAGCAGGGAGGCTGGGGGAGGAAAGCTTAAATGCTCTCAGAGCTCCTCCTTTTCCAAAGCATGGTTGGCAAAAAGAGGAAACCTCTGCCAGCTCTTTTAAAAAAGTACTAAGGATAGGGCTGGGAATTTAGCTCAGCAGCATAAGCACCTGCCTTGCAAGCAGGCTGTCATGAGTTCGATCCCCGGTATCGGAAAAAAGAAAAATTAAATCAGACATGGTAGCACACCCCTGCAATCCCAGCTGGAGGATGTTTGCAAGTTTGAGACCAGCCTGGGCTACAAAGTGAGCCCAAGGCTAATCTGAACTGCATAGCAAGACCCAATCTCAAAAAGACCAAAAAAAAAAAAAAAAATACTAAGGTGGCACATGCCTTTAATCCCAGCACTCGGAAGGCTGAGGCAGGAGGATTGCCATGAGTTCAAGGCCAGACTGGGCGACATAGTGAGCCCCTGGCTCTAAATAAGTAAATAAATGACAAAAGCTTTCAGGAGTGTTTTTAAAAAGTCAAATGGAAATTTTCTATATGGAGGCCCTAACTCCCAATGTGACATATTGGGAAACAGAGACTTTAAGGAAGTAATCATGAAGGTTAAGTGAGGTCATAGGGAGACCCCAATCCAACAGGACTGCTGTCCTTATAAGGCTAGGAAGAGACACCAGGACGGACCATATGAGGGCACAGTGAAAAGGCAGCCACCTGCATGACAGGCAGCCTGCTGGTCCCTGAGCTTGGCCTTGCAGCCTGCAGAACTGTGAGGAGATGGTGTCACCTGCTGGAGGCATTTGGTCTGTGATATTCTGAGACCTTTGCAAATTCAGACACATGACTGGCCCGAGACCTTTCCCCTGGCAAATAGAGGAGCTAGGATTTGAATCCAGGTCATTTGGCACTTGAGTCTGTGCTTTAATTTTTTTTTTTTAACTTTTTATCGGTACCGGGAATCAAACTCATGACTGCCTGCTTGCAAGGCAGGTGCTTATGCCACTGAGCTAAATCCCCAGACCCGAGTCTGGGGAGCTGTTACACAGTGCTTGTTTCCTGAGAAAGGAAAGAGTAAGACAGCCCTACTGAGAAGCGGTGATGGTGGCAGGAACTGCCAACATACCCAGCTTTCACCCTGCACCAGCACCCTGCACTCAGCACTTTTCATGCATTACCCATGCATTGCCAACAAGCCTGCCAGGCTGGGACTGTTACCACCCCATCCACCCAAGGCCTTAGTAGAACCCCAAAGTAGCCAAGTCATTCAGAACTGCCCAGAACTGTGCTCCACTGCGAGGCCGTGTGACTGAGATGTGTTTTATTACAGCCAGACCCAGCCCTTGCCAACACTGCAACTGGGCGCCTGAGTAAGAGAGCCCTAATTAAGCCCTCACTTCCCTAAGGAGACCTGTAGCTTGCTGATCACACTTGAGACAGTTAGGACCTTTCAGATCCTTTGCCCTGCTGTCCAGGAGAAAGCCTCAGCACAGCTCATGGCTTCTATATGCTTCTCACACCTGCTCATACTTCAACAGAAATCAGACCCCAGATGAAATTCCACCTTCTCCAGGCAACAGTGTCAGTCCTCTTGTCGCTGGGGACTCCAAACTGCATGTACAAGTCACTGATGCTTTTGTTCAGAGCTTTTCGGTTTTTTACCTTCTATTTCATGTTGGTTTCTGTCGCTATATCTCTATATTCCCAATCTCTTCTGTGCTGTACAATGGGTTGTTAGCCTATCCAGTTTATTTTTCATCTCAGACATTGTAGTTTCCATGTCTAGAAGTTGCATGTTGCTCTTGTCATGATTAACTTTTTGATCACATAGGGTACAGTTAAAATAACTGAATTTATGTCTATATCAGTTCTTTCTTGAAATTCATTGGCTTTCCTTCAATCTATGGTTCTTGTTTTCCTATGATTCTATGATTAGATAATGGACAATGTGATTTGATGTTGTTAGCTGCTAGATAGTTGGGTTTTTAAAAATGTAAGTCTCTATCTTTGTTCTGGAATGCAGCTAAATTATTTGGGAATGGTTTGATTCTTTCAGGTCTTGTTAGGTGATATCCAAGCAGTGCTTAGTTACTCTCTACTACTGAGGGAAGCACTTTCTCAGTATTACACTCAATGCTCCGTTGTTAGGGTTTGGATCAATGTGTCCTCAAAAGGCCTGTAGTGGCACTGGAAGTGGGAGAGCATTTAAGAGGTGAGGCCCAGTGGCAAGTTTTAGGGCGCTGGGGTCATGTCCTAGAAGAGGATTGTGGGATCCCAGGCTCTTCCTCTCCCTCTCTGGATTCTTGGCCACTATTACATAAGCAACTTGCTTACCACCTGCTGTCATAATGTACTGCATCACCACACGCATAACACCAATAGATTCATCTAAACATGAACTGCCATCTGCAAAACTATGAACTTCCCTTTGTGATCATCTCAGGTATTTTGCTAGTACAAGAAGTCGCCTAATACAGAATGATGAGATTCTCCATCCTGCCTGATAAGAAAAACACTGCTTTCTGGCGACCTGAGGGCCGAGTACTATTCCTTCCATCCTTCCGGGAGCCCAAGCTCTGCTCCGTTCTCCTCTGCATCCTGACTTTTGTTCGCATGCTTATTACTTCACGACACAAAACATCTGCTACAATTCCAGGTTGCTGGATGTGATTCAAGCAGGAAGAAAAAACTAGGAAGCATGGAGCAGCAACCCAGGACAGCAGATTTTTCAGAATTGTGCTTGTACTGTCTCACCAGCACTGTAACATGTGTGATCACCAGTCACGGTTTGGCAGGCAACTAAGCTGGTCTACAAGCTATGTGTACATTGTAGAATAAACTCTGCTAAGTATCAGTGAGCTATTCTTTTAAACACTACCAGACTCTATTTGACAATATTCTGAAGGTTTTCCTTAAATCTACTGTGATATTCAGGCTTGAACTAAGAGACAGGAGACAAAAAGACTGGAACGTATCTGTGTATTTTCAGGAGCATCAAGACGTGACAGACTTGTGACTAACCACAAAAACTGCAGAACAGGAAACAAAGAGGAACAGAAATAAGACGATGCTACTGTACAAGCATTTTTAAAGGGGCAATGACCAGTGACACTGTTAAACTGCTCTCAGACACCAAAGCTGAAGTGTTTGTTAAATTTTCTTTAGGATTTCAATTTGGAACGTCATATTTGCATTTTAATCAATATACAAAAATACCTTTCTCTCCAGACTTGTACGAAATGAAACCACTGCTGTGAAAAGTTTAATACTTTTGATGGTGCACATTCCTGTAATCCCAGCACTCAGGAGGCTGAGGCAGGAGGATCACTGTGAGTTTGAGGCCAGCCTGGGCTACATTAATTCAAGACCAACCTGAATAGCACAGTGAAACTGTCTCAAAAGGAAAAAAAAAAAAAAAAAAGACAAAAATATTTGAATAGTTTTAAGTGTTTTAATAGTTCTTTTCAGAGATACATACTGAACTATTTATATATAAAATTGTACATCTAGTATTTGCTTCAAAGTAACAGCAATTTTAGACAAAGTGGGTAGAAATAAAGATGAAACAAGTGACCATGAGTTGACACAGAACACGGGAACTAGGTATATAGGATTCACTAATACACACATAGATGTATTTCCCAGGGGTAGGGACTCTGTCCGGGGAAAAGCGCTCCACCACTGAGTTACACCCCCAGCCTCTGTCTTAATAATTAGTGCAGACTCTACTCCAAAGCACTTTATTGCTCGCTTAAAAAGAAGTGCCCATGGTAGACACTCAGTGAGGCTGGTCCCGCTGCTCCCCACACTTGGTCCTGTGCAGGATCCACTACTGGCAACTCCCAGGGCCACTGCCACCTTCAGTCCTGACCCCAACGGATCCAGAGCCAGCTCAAGACTCTGTGAAACCCATAAACAATATTCAAAGCAATAATGACTGTGTTTCTGTGCACTGCTGGCAATGTTGAGCCCAAAATGTCTCAAAGATTAAACAATTATACACACTTAAAATACATAGAAAAATAATATAGTCAGGACTTATACAAATTAGGTGTTACAAAACAATTTTGCTACAAGAAATAGGTCTTTTATTCTAGCACAAAACTGTGGCAATATACACAGAAGTACACTTTTAAGAAAAAACATTTATTATTCCAAAATGCTGAACAGGAAGGCATAGACTACGTTCTGGGTCACTGATAAAAGAAAGCTTCAATTTGCGAGCAGAAATTTCCACTCCATTCTTCAGCTTCTAGAAACAAGAATTAAACAGCTGTTCCTCTTTCCAAGTTCTGTTTAATTTCAGCCGTGTACTTCCCGTAGAACCTTTCGGCTTTCTTGTTGAATTTGGCATTTCTCTCGTTAATGTAGTCAATGTCTGCATCGTCATTGTAAGGACGTCTGCGGCTATACTTGTCTCGTTTTTCAATTCTGGGTGAAAGACAATAATTTATAAAGTTCAAAACTGCCTTTCTATCATAACAAATCATGTACAGACAGTTATGATTAGAATCAGTATTTATAATAGTATTGGGGGGAAGCTCAGTCATCATCAATTTCAAGTTGAAACTATGACTCAGTAGCACAATCTCAGGTAAATACTAAGAAATTAGGCAGGCATAGTGTTAACACAACTATAATCCCAGCACTCAGGAGGCTGAGGCAGGAGAATTGCCACAAGCTTAAGGCCAGTCTAGACTATATAATGATTGTTTTGGGGTGGGGACAACAGGGTCACCTAGTCCAGGCTGGCCTTTAACTCCTAGTGATCCTCCAACTCAGCCTCTCAAATGCTGGGATTACAGGCATGTAACACCACACCCAGCTACCCAACAATTTGAAATCCAGCCTGAACACCCGAACTACATACCAAAACCTTGTCTCAAAAAAAAAATTTAAATACAAACTCATCTTTAGAATATTTCTAAAAGAGCAATGACACATTGCTAGGAATGAACAGAAGGTATTACCTTAACAGATCGCTATTATAAGTAATAACCACAGCCAATACAATACATAGTATGTGCCAAACATGTTTTACTTTTGTGTGTGGTAGTAAAGACTGAACCCACGGAGTGCTGAGCTACATCTCGACTTTTTTTAATATTTTTGTTTTAAGACAGCCTTGCTAAGGCTGTCCTTAAATTTTTTATTCTCCTGCCTCAGCCTCCTGAGTAGCTAAGATAGCATAGCCATACTCGGCTCAAACATTCTTTTTAACACTTTACATATATTAACTGCTAAAATATAAACTCATTCTGGTCTATTCTTTCAGCTCTCACAGAGCTAAGAAACACAAATATAACCAGGTACATTTACTACAGCATTCCTGCCTCTTCAACTCAAATAGGGGAGTGGTCAAAAGTGAAGTTCCTTAAAGAATAAATAACTCTCTTTAGACTTTTTTTCTTCAATTTGAATTACTGTGGTTCGGACCTGGACTGTACTGCAAAGGGCCAGGTGTTGACATCTCAATCCCCACTCATGGTGCTACTGGGAGACGGTGGAACCTTTCAGAAGTGGGATGTGGCAGGAGGAAGCTGGGGGTCACAGAAAGTAAGCCCCAGAGAGATACTGAGACCCCAAATTCTCCTCTGCCTTTCCTTTCTGTCCATCATGATATGAACAGGCCTCCTCAGCCACATGCTCCTACCGTGATATACTGTGCCCCACAGCCCGAAGCAGCAGGCAAGACACCACGGACTGAATGCTCTGAAACCCTGAGCAAAAACAGAGCTTTCCTCCTTGTAAACTGTTTATCTCGGGGATTCTGTCAGAGTGATGCAAATCTTCTCACTCAGTTACAATTCTATTTCACAATGTTTTTCATACCCACTCCAGATCATACGGACTTAACCCATGCTGACTGTCCATCTCCTAAACCACTATCCACACTAGGTCAGAAACTACAGGTGTCATTTCTGTCTGTCCAATTCATTCAAAGCACATTAGATTTGGACGCACACGGGAAGTCTGTCCTCTGTTTAAGCATCTCACTTAACATTTCAGGCAGCTCTACGCAGCACTTACTGTTTTTCCAGATCTATGACCATTCTATCAATTTCCTCTGTGGAAGGCACATGTGTCCCATGAAGAAGACTGTTGGATGTTGGGAAAAACTCTTCTCCACTGAAAAGACAGCAAAATGGATTTACAGTAACACTACAAGTGTTCCATTTTCAAATTTCAAACTAAACTACCATTCATGATGAGAAATGAAGTATATATATATATTTACTGTGGAAGTAAAAAAAATAAAAGACACTGGGCATGGTGGCGAACTCCTGTAATCCCAGCACCTGGGAGGCTGAAGCAATAGGATCATTGCAAGTTCAAGACCAGCCTGAACTTCAAAGTGAGCTCAAGGCCAGCCTGAACTTCATAGCAAGACCCTGTCTCAAAAAGATGAAAAAAAAGACAAGGGCTGGGGAGTTAGCTCAGTGGTATAAGCACCTGCCTGGCAAGCATGAGGGTGTGAGTTCGATCCCCAATACCAAAAATAAAAATCATAATAAATAAAAACTAAAAGACAAGATTAGAATAAGCTCAAGAAATTATCTATGCTAGTATTTTCTTCATTCTTCATTCTACTGGGCCAATCTCCAGAGTTTTAAAGGAATTATAAAAGTCACAAAGAATTGAGATTATAGGTTCTAAACTCAGTTATTTTCTTTCCACTAGAGCAGGGGTTTTTCAGGGACACAGCCACAGTGATCATCTGGGTAGCCTCTGTGACCACCTTCACAATGCAGCAGCATAGGTGAGCAGTTGTTACCAAGATCTACGGCACACACAGGCCAAAGTATTTACTATTTGGGCTCAAAAAAAAAAAAAAAAAAAAAAACTCAGGAGGGCCAGGACTGTTGCTCAGAGGCAGAGCACTAGTCTTGGATGCCTAAGGCTCTAGGTTCAATCCCCAGCACTGAAAACAAGAGAAAAAAAAGAAAAAACTCGCTTACTCCAGCACTAAAGTACACTGCCTCCTAAATAATGCTTAAATATGATAATCTGGGTATTAACCATTCAATATTCAGAACTTCAAGTTCAGAAGAAAACCAGGAAGTTAGCTTAACTGCTATAAAATAGTCAAATCATGTCAAAACAGAGTCCATTCTTAAGACAACTATAACCCAAATCTCAACTTTAAATTATATTTGAGCTGAGCCAGGGGCTTAGCTCAGTGGCATAAGCACACGCCTGGCAAGTGCAAGGTCATGAGTTTGATCCCTAGTACCAAAAATTAAAAAAATATATATGGAACATACTTGTAATCTTGGAACGCAGTGAGGCTAAGACAGGAGAATCACAAGTTCAACCCCAGCCTAAGTAACTCAAAGACCCTATCTTAAAATAAAGTATAAAAAAGGCTGGGTTATAGCTCAGTGCAAAGGCTTTGGATCCAAACCACACTACCGGGGGAAAAAAGGCTGTATTTATGTACAGTTATATGTAGGTGTACAACATACATACACAAAGATACCCACAGCACCTCAGTATGAATGAGGGACTGCACTGAACCTGTGGACTTACTGTTTTTCTCTCAGTCTCTCATATGTTTCCATGTCAGGTTTGATCTGCTTGGTCAGCCGGTGATACTGGCGTAACTGGGCAGCAGCATAATCTAAAAATAAAATTAGAATTAGAAATGGCATATATTCTTGTTTTTATTACTATTCAGGGAAAGATTAACTAATACAGCCACAAGACAGTAATCTCAGCACCGGTTCTATCCTGAGTATGTTGGTAAAAAGACTGATTCATGTTACGGAGAGAATACAAAAAGCCAGCTGACTGAAGGGTAGCCTTTCTTTAGGTTCTGCCCTCTGAGGTGTGTTTGTATTTTCCCTGGCCTCTTCGACAACACCCCATACAGGAAAAACCACCAGAAATGGTGGCACATGCCTGTAATCTCAGCACTCAGGAGACTGAGGCAGGAGGATTGCTGTGAGTTTGATATCAGCCCAGGTACATACTGAATTTAAGGCCAGCCTGAAATATAGTGCGACCCTGTCTTGGGAAAAAAGGAAAAACAAGGTGCACATCTTTTCACTGAACCAGACACATTAAACCAATGCTTGGGCCGGGATTTAGCTCAGTGGCACAAGTGCCTGCCTAGCAAGCCTGTTCAATAGAAGAAAGATCAACTTTACCTGAAAACCCAAGATCAGGGTTTTTCCTCTTCTTTTTCCTCTCCCATCTTTCTGCATCTTCTGCACTAATCTCCAGCAACTTCACTTTCTCGTAGTCTTCCCCTCTGGCTGCACATTCCTAACAGGAAAACAAAGCTGGTTCCATAACTGTAACACCAACAATTCTTTGATCTATTTTAAATAAAAAATACCCAATAAAGATATGGCATAGTATTTTGTCTGGTTCGAGGTTTTCTGGATTCAGGGCATTGCTATGCAGCAGGCAGGCCTGGAACTCATGTTTCTGCCTCAGCCTCCCAAATGCTGGGGTTACGGAAATGTGCCACCTTATCCAGCTTCAAGTAATACTTTTTAAAAACTGATTAATATATAAAGGAAATCTGGCAGTCTGCTAGTCTATAAGGAAGCATATGATACTTAGTGTTTTGATGGGGGTTTTTTTGTCTTTTTCTTTTTTATCGGTACCGGGGATCAAACTCACAACCACACACTTGCAAGGCAGGCGCTTATGCCACTGACCTAAATCCCCAGCCCCTGATACTTACGTGTTCTGGCAAATTTCAGAACCTGTTTTAAATGCTTGCAAGCGTTAACTCATTTAATTCATAATCAAATCTATAAGAAAACAGGGTGCAAAGAGGGTAAGTAATTTATCTAAAATGTGCCAGCAGCTAAAAGGCAGAGCCAAAATTTCAATTCTAGCCTTTTGGTTCCAGATGTGGGCTACTCAAATCAACATTCTCCTATTCAGTACAAGAGGACTATGGGAGAAATCACTTATGAAGATGGTGGAGTGATTGTTAACCTTTTTCTTTTCTTCTTCCTGTAGCTCCCATTCCAATCGAGCTTTTCTGGCTTCCCAATTTTCAGGTAACTTAAGTCTTTTATCTTCTTCCACAACCTCCTGGTGATTTAATTTACGAGCTTCATTCTAAAATCATAAAACGAAAAATAAGTAAAAAAAAATAAAGCAAAAGTTTTTCAAATGAAACATGAAAAGAAATCTAGCCTGGTATGGCAGCGCATGCCTGTAATCCTAGCACTCAGGAGGCTGAGGCAGGAAGATCATCGCAAGTTCGAGACCACCCTGGGTTACAAAGTGAGCTCAAGGCCAGCCTAACATGCACTGTGAGACTCTGTCTCAAAAAAGACTTAAAAGAAAAGAAAAGAAATTCAAATAGAGTTTGCCTTTTCTTTGAGGCGGGTCAAATGAGACACGTTAACAAGATGACCCCATTTTATCCTAAAAGCAACATATAGCTATCAAATGAATCTAAACAAGGGAACAGACTGATAAGGTCTGTACAGGTACACAGTCAAGAAAAAGGCAACTGTACTGTTTGCTGTTTCAGAGCCCTAGAAATTAGTATCAATTTTTGCCTCTGTGTAATCCCTTGAGTTGGATCAGAACAAGGTTTTGCAAAGCAGCAGAGCCATACCACAGTGGCACTGAAAGATATTCTACTTTTAAATCCTGATTAATTCAAATAAAGTCTCAAGTTAGGGTTGAAGGGCTTTAATGCCTATCTTAATATCTTTAACACTTTCTAGGTTCTCCTCCTCTTTAAATATTTTGACAAATGAAAAGAACTTTCCCATTTAAAGTACTAATGAAGAGCCTATTTTCTAACAAACTTAACTGCATAAAACAAATTGAGTAGATTATCTTAAGAAAAACTTGGGGCAGAGATATAGCTCAGTAGTACAACCCCCGCCTGGCAAGTTCGAGGTCCTGAGTTTGATTCCTGGTACCAAAAAAAAGAAAAAAGAAAAGAAAGAAAAACTTACATTAGATATTTCTCAGGTCACAGGCTGGTACAGTTAACCCAAGTCAGCTTCCTAACTTCCATACATAATCTTTACACAATCCCTCTAAGTAAATATTTAAACATGCTTCTTTAATTGTTCATTAACTTGTTTCTGGACAAAGAGATATGCCCTCTCAACTACCACCCCCACATACTCTTGTCTCTGACAATGCAATGCCTTTCAGTCTGCAGTCAAAGGGTGCAGTCACTGCACCCAACTTTGGAGAGCAAACACCAGAAACATTTCAATGAGTGTTAAATGGAGCTAATTACAGAATTTGGGGGTTATCAGGTGACCGGTGGTAAGATTCAAGACTCTGAATTGGCCATGTCAGAAAACAAGGGCATTCTATGAGTAGCTTAAATTTCTATGTAGAAGGTAATACTAAAGGCTGGAATTGGCACGTTAATGGTGTCCAGAAGAAAAAAGGGTACGTGGTCATGTCTGTGATTTAAATAGCCTTGGTTTTGTCTACAGCTGCAGTGATGTCAGGAGTTTGTGGAAACATGTCCGAATTACCAACAAAGCATTTCCAACTGAATTAGAGATTGCTCTTTTCTTAGTTCCAAACATATCCAATTGTTTGTTGGACGCTTACTCCTATTACAAATTCTCTTTTGTTCCCTTTGCTTGATGTTTCCTCCTCCAACTCTTTTATTTGGTAATTACTCATCTTTCCAAGAATAGTTTAGGTGTCACATCTTGAATGAAACACTCCCTCTAGCCCCCAAATTGTATCAAAATCTCCCTCTGCACCCCCAGCGGATTATATTTTAACCTCTAACATTGCACATACCACAGTATAATTTCGGGCTATCTGATGTATCCTGTAGTTCAGAACAGAACACTTTAATTTTAAATACCTAATTTCCCACCCACCGACTAGGCGACCACATTGTAGACTTTGAGAGGTATGCTCAGTATTTGGGATGTGCACCAACGGACGAGGGGTAGCCAGGGGTTGACAGGGTCACGCTATGTAATTTAGGCTGGCCTTAAACTCATTATGTAGCCCAGGCTGGCCCAGAATTCGAAGCAATCCTTCTAGCTCAACCTCTCGAGTACTGGGATCATAGGTGTGCACCACCACGCCCGGCTTTATACTCGGTGCTTTTTAATGGAAAGTACATAAGTTTTCTTCCAATTTCTAGTTCTACATATTTTCCTAGATAAAAGGAAGACTTTGTTACGATCACAGAGTAAGAAGACTGTTAGTAATGGATTCTCAAATCTAGCTCAGATAAATTAAACCAGACTAAGGGATGGTGAAGAGAACAGGTGTATTTTTTTTTTTTTTTTTGCTTTTTTCGTGTGTATTTTTTTTTTTTTTTTTTTTTGCTTTTTTCGTTTTTATCGGTACCAGGGATCAAACTCACGACTGCCTGCTTGCAAGGCAGGCGCTTATGCCGCTGAGCTAAATCCCCAGCCCCGAGAACAGGTGTATTTTCAAAAGTTCTCAAAGTCGTCTTGATGTGCTAGGGTTGGAACTAATAAACAGAGCTTCATTTCAGGGGAATATCCAGCTCTGTGGCATGTCGGACTTTCCGGTGAGACCTCCTCGTCTCTGGAAAGAAAGACGCACAATCCTGGGCAGATGACAGGTCTGAGCTGGCCTCCGGGCCGACTCACCCGCTTCAGATGCAGCTCCCGGAATTTTCGCAGTCTCTGTTCGCGCTTCTGAGAAGCGAGTTCCTTCGCCGCCGTGCAGGACCCCTCCTCTGCGATGCCCACCTGAGCCTGAGACAAAAAGAACCGGCTTCAGGGGGGCTCGGCTTCTCCCAGAGCTGCCCGGGCGGATTGCGACAGCGCAGGCTGAGGCCTGCCACCTCCAACAAGGCCCCCCACTTTCTGCGCCTCCTTCGCCGGACACCCAAGGCTTTCGCCTTCGTCTATCGGCCCTACCGCTCCCCAGAGTTCTCACCAATAAAAACTCGAGCTAGGCCGCTTGGTACTCACAGTCTCGACTTCTGTCGCAGCCGCCATTAGAGCCCCAGCTTCCTACTTCCGGCAACAACGCAGAACATTTCCGTCTGTCTGCCTGCAGGCGGCCCTGCCAAGTATACCAAGTAAGTGGCTACAAACCCCGCCCCTTCCGGTCAGCCTTAGAAACTTGGGACCAATAACTGCACTTTCAGTGGTGTGACGTTTTGGAGCGGGCAAGGTTGTGCGCAGCCGCAGAAGGTTGAGGAAGCAAGGCCGGGAGAAGAATTGAGTGTAGAGAAGTGAGTTGCGAAGAATCCGGTTGGGAGGAGCTGAATAGAGAACGGCTGGGAAAACATCCTGTTAACTGGGCGCCTATTCGCTTTGAAAGACAGGCCTTCCCGAGCTATCGTGTGTCGTGTGGTCCGTTAGTACAGCTCACACTACTTTGATTCTCTTTCACCGCACAAGATGTTTGTATTGTGTGTTGATGACTGCAAGAAGAGCAGTCTAATCTTGTTCACGTTTACGAGTCCAAAGAGGAAAGTGTTAAAATTACTGAGATAAAGCAGTAAAACGCTGGACAGAAGATAACATATGGAAAGTAGTGTTTTCTGACTACTAATTAGACATAACAGTGAAAATGGAATCTCCTAAATGAAAATCTAGATATAAAATTTAAGCAGTAATATGAGCTGGGCACGAAAGTGTAGGCTTGTAATCCCATCCCTCTTGGAGGGTGAAGCAGGAGGATCAAAGTTTGAGCCCAGTTTGAACAATTTAGTCACTTAATGGGCGGTCTTAAAAAACAAAAAGCACCAGGCGGTGACACATACTTGTAATCCCAGGAGGTTGAGGCAGGAAAAACACCAGGAGGCTGAGGCAGCAAAATCGCCAAAAGTTCGAGGCCAGCCTAAACTAAATAGACCCTGTTTAAAAAAATATATGTACATATTATATATATATATATATATATATATATATATATAGAGAGAGAGAGAGAGAGAGAGCAATTTGATAAGGAAAAATAATTGAAATTTAAATCTTATTTCATCTGTAACTACAAACAAATATATGGCAACAGAAAACAAAATTAGGACTGTTTCATAAAAATGAAGATAATTATTTGTGACATTTATATAAAATAAAACATTGGATGAATCAGGCACACCAGTAGGAATTTCTGATTTGGCAAATGATGAGTTGATAACTAAAGATGGTAATAGAAGTGCTAATAGAGAATTACTGTGCATAGAGAAATTACATTATATACAATTATAGAATGAGGCAGATCTATACTAAGATGAAAAGATTCTCATAATATACCAAGTAAAGAAAGGTTTGTATGGACCTAGAAAATAACTCGAGATGTACATAAAATAATTTATATTTATTAACTCCAGAAATTAGAAATAAAGGGGAGTAATTTTAGTTTTAAAAAAAACAATTTGCGATGAATGTATACCCATATTGGCTAATCCTATCAAAAATAAAAATAGCTCTTTGTCATACTCTTAGGAATTTTTTTTCTCTAGTATTTGTAAAGAAGCACTAAATAACTTTGTACTAAGGCAAAAGAATGGGGAAAGGATAAAATTAGTAAGAGTAAACTCCAGAGACCCTACTGACCTGGGTAGGATGAATAAACAGCATATCCTCAGAGGAAAAATCACCCCACAGCTACGGCAGCAAAAGAAGCAGATTTTGATTTGGGAACTACTCTAAAGGTGGATGGGTGAGCGGTAAAGCCACTAATTCAAACAAGAAATACTGTGACAGCTTCCATATAGCACAGGTTCATTTCAAAGAGATTACTGCCACTTGGTACTACAGCTCAGAAAATGATGAGAATCTCCACATAGTTGGTAACTAAAGGGTGAGTGGAGAAAACTGACAACTTGAGAAGTGAAGGAGACCATGCATAGTATCCTAATGGTGGACGGAGGACAAAGAATCAATGTAGAAAATCTAAGATATCAAAGAAAAATTCAAATATATGTAAATCCCTGAACAAAAGAAAATTTCAAGGCAGGACCCTACAAGAGAAAAATGTGGGCACATTCACAAGGACAAGGTTTACTCAAGTTTTATTTTACTAGGTGGAGCTGGGGATTTAGCTCAGCAGCATAAGCACCTGCCTTGCAAGCAGGCAGTCGTGAGTTCGATCCCTGGTACCGATTAAAAAAAAAAAAAAAAAAAAAAAGATATTTTACTAGGCAAACTGAATGTTGTAGTTGCCTCAGAGGACATAATGCTGTGGTGACTTCAGTGAATGTTATTCTCCATACTTTTAGAGCAAAGCTTGTTGCCTGAGGCTATCGTCTGAGGCACTGTTTTCCAGAATGGTTGCCAACTTTTACTATGATGCTGATCACTTGAAATGTGGCTACTGAAAATTGAGACACACTCTATGGGTAAAACACTGGATTTCAAACAGTACAGAGGATGTAAAATATGAGTGTTTCTTATATTAAACGTTGACCTATTTTAGATATACTGATGTAACTCATCTTTTTACTTTTATTGTAGTTCTCATTTCTTTTGCACAGCCCTGAATCTACTCTCTTGGCAAAAATATCTCAGTAACTATCAGCATCACCGTCCTTCACTGAGTAACCCAAGCTTATATAGTAATGGCACATCACACTTATGCAACTGCATTCTAATCATGCAGTGATGGCCAGTTTAGGGGTATGTATACATGATCTGTTATCTTCAGTGTTCTAGTATGTAGGAGGATCAACCAAGGTCAGTTTAGATTAGGACTGTCCAGGCATCATGGTGGCACGTACCTGTAATCCCAGCGCTAGGGAGGGCAAGACAGGAAGATCTCAAGTACGAAGCCAGCCTGGGATACATAGTGAGATCTTGTCTCAAAAACAAAGTGGGGGATAAGAGAAAATTATGATTGATAGGATTTGGAAGAGTGATTATCGGGAGAACAAATATAAGCTATTTGTTTAAGATACTCAGTAGTTTTAAAAAGTCAATAAAGTCAGAACTGAAAAAAGAAACGGAGAAGTCTCAAGCATGTTCATGAACTGAAGGAGAAAGCTCAAATAGTAAAGAAATCTGAAGAAAAGTATTAACTATAAAAGTGAATCTGAGCCATGCATGTTGGCACTTGCATGTCATCCCAGCACTAGGAAGACTGAAGCAAGAGGACTGCTGTGGGTTCAAGGTCAGCCTGAGCCACATAATGAGCTCTGGCTTAGTCTGAACTACATATCAAAACCCTGCCTGCAAAAAAAAAAAAAAAGTGTGTCTTAGAAGTGGCACATATGCAAAGCAATAGCCAAAGCTCTCTTGTGCATAGGGAAAGGTGTTAGACTGAGACCATTACTGAGTCTCAGTCTAACACCCAAGTCACTCTGTTCCCAGGGCTATTTAAACACAGGTCAGGATCAGAATAGGTGCTCTTCCCAATACCAGCCAAGAGAAGGTGACCCTAGGATTAGGTCATGACTTCTAGAGTCTCTCTCACATAGGAAATTTTTAAGTTCCAGAACTTTGCAGAGGAGGATATCAACCAATCTGCCTTTACTCACCATCAAATACAATTGGAGATACTCATAATTTTCTAAGCTCCAGAACTATTAAGTAAACATTTGGCTAAATTCTTTTTTTTTTTTTTTTTTTGGCATTTTTAAAAAATCTGTACCGGGGATCGAACTCACGACCACCTGCTTGCAAGGCAGGTGCTTATGTCGCTGAGCTAAATCCCCAGCATTGGCTAAATTCTTGGAAGGTGCAAATAATAGAATAGTAGGCAACACATTATTAGTTAACTCACAAAGCCCCACTTGAAGACTGAAAAATGTATTTAATATTATATTGTATTGCAGTGTAGTGCTATGCTATCCTATTCTTTTTTGAGACAGAGTCTCATTATGTAGTCCAAGATGGCCTCAAACTCACTGCAACCTTCCTGCCTCAGTTACCCTAAATCTTTTTTTTTTTTTTGTACTGGGGATCAAACTCACAACCTCATGACCTCACATTTGCCATGCAGGCACTTACGCCGCTGAGCTAAACCCCCAGCTACCCTAAATTCTGAGATTACAGGCATAGACCACCATACCTTGCTAATACTAAACTGGCTTTGGTTGGTTGTGGGGGATTACAAATTTACAGTGACTGGTTTTGCATATTTCCCTGTGGGATAAAAGGAAGGGCTGGGACTGTTGATACCACTCATCTGGGATTTCCCACTAACTCTTCCAAACATAAAATCATCTATGCCTTAAATCATCTGAGGATTATACTAAAGGACAAGATACTTCTAAATATAAGATCATCTACGCCTTCTTAAATCATCACAGGATTATACTCTGGTCAAGATGAAAGAGTTGCCGGCCCAGATGGAACACTGTAACCAGAAAAGGCTGCAGCTAAACTCCCCCCCCCCCTGCCCCCTATGCACTTGATTGTAACCCTATATCCCCATCCTTAAGGACCTGTGCGCCAATGAGATACCTGTGCATCTCTAATGGCCTTTGGGGCACTGCCCTAAGCTTAAGCTATTTAGATTCCCCCACGCCACGTGTCCGGGGAGTTCGCCAGAGAGAGAGAGAGAGCTCGCCAGATTCCAGCGGCCAGCGCCGGCCAGCGCGCCAGTCTCCACTCCCCGTGTTCCCGGAGAGACCACAGCCTGGCCCGGGGCTCGGTGCAGAGATGCTGCGCCCGGGGCCGGCGGCGGGGGGCCCCCTCCCCGCATTCCCGGAATAAAGCCACCGCTGACCACTACTTTCACGGCCGTCCACTCCGCTCCATTCCTCGGACTTCTTCTCCTCTCCCTCCCCCTTCTCCCAGACCTAACACAAGATACTTCAAATATAAGATTACACCCTCTGGAGTCCGAGTCTGGATGAATTATAATCCTTTACTAGCCCCAACTATCACTGTATAGAACAATAGTGGCTGTTTTGGGAATGGAGGAAATTGGATTCAGAGACATTAACTTCCCAGCCATTATTGGAATATAATACTTGTTTTTTATTTTCCTCATGACATTCTTGAGACTGACAACTGGGACTCTTGGCTAGGTTCCTGATAGTTAGACTAATGGGGTACAATTATAATGTAAGACCACATTTATAAAATAGCAAACTTAAGAGAGCAGTGAGAGGTCTCTGACCAAGTTTCTGCTGCTTCTGCTGCTTATCAGGGGTATGCAGCTGGGCTTTAGACACTGTCAAGGTCAACTGAAGTCAGCAGAGTAATTGTCTATACCTTAAGGCACCCTGGGCTAATCAAGGACACCTTTAACTATGCTCACCCTGTAAGTGACCCCTCACCTTGTTCCTGGAATGTTTCTGTATTATGATAAATAATTCCTTTGTTTCAACAAATTTCAGGACTAGCCTGCCTGTCAATATAGGATTCAACTTGTGTAACCAATTATGTTTTGTCACTTGCTTTGTTCTTCCCACTTCTAAATGCTATATAAACTAAACTCTTTGTAAAAAACTCAGGGCTGTTGCTCTTGGGAATGATCCCACAACAATCTGCTAGTGTAAAGATGAAAGATGTCTTCTTATCGCCTCAGGGCGAAGAGTCTTCCATTTGGTTTGACAGGCATTTTCCCAAACTACCATGTTTAGATCCTCCTAGGTTTTGTAACACTGAAGCTAAGACATGTACACACACCCACCACCGAGTGGCCGTGATTACAATTTGAATGCAGTTTGTACCACACCTGGCTCACTATAGAAGACCTGGCCAGTGAATGATTAAACTGAATAAAAGCACACAGGCTCTGTGAGTGGGTGGTTAAAACACAGGACAAAAGCACACAAGTAATTAAACTACAGGCATAGTTTGCAGACTCTGTAAGTAAACTGTGGGGGAGAATCATGTAGGCTCTGAGGACTGAATGGTTAAACTATGAGGCAAAAGAACACAGGTTGTGTGAGCATTGAGGCTTTTCCTGAGTCTTCCTAATGATTAGGTGCTCTCAGTTGAAATTGCCCCTTTAGATCTTCAGTGGATTGAACTGTTTTGTCTTCATCCTCCACATGGGCCATTGACTTTCATTCCTCAGTTCTTGGCAAAGCTGAAACCATTCCTAAGTGATAAGGCTACGGAAATGTCCTGTTATTCAGTGACAATAAATCCTTTCCAACTATACCTGAGCTCAGGTTGAAGGACTTAGAGCACTCAACTATAATAGATCTGTATAAATGCCCTACTACAGGGGTGCCAGTTTTTGGGCTGAGGTACCAGCCCTGTATTAGGAAGGTGCATACCCAAGACACACTTCCCTTCCAGACTGCATTCCACTTCTGAATCTGGCCGTTTATCCCCATCATTTTGTAAGTCAATAGTAGGTTTCTCCATAGGCAAATCATAAAACCATATCCCCAGCTAGTAGTAAAGCTAAAGCCTCTCTGTAGTCTTCTCAGCCCCAGGGAAACAACTCTGGCAACCACAAAATGCTTTCATCAGGTTCCTGTGCTTTTCAAATGAGTAAGAGACATTTCAAGCAGTTCTCTCATTGGAGTACTCCTTAGAGGGGCAATACTACCTACCACCACTGGTAAACTAACAAAAGAGGCTATGAATAAGCTTTACAACATGGTGACATCCTGATGCACAGAATTTCCTATCAGGGTTAAGATAGGGTTGACTGCTACAATGATTACCTTTGTTCCCCTTCTATATCTTAACTTGCCTGGCACCACAAACTGTATGGTCCTCCTTCTGTTTAGTGCCCAGTTTAGATTTATACATTTTTTGTGGCAAGTCCTCCCGAAATCCCTGCTGATTTCTCCAATGTCTTGAAAATCTACAACAGTAGATAAATTAGACTTTTTAAGGATAGGAAAGATGCGAACTCATTACTTACAACTGGCATCTGAAAGAGGGTGCCTTGCAAAACAAAGTGTAACAGTCTGTGTGTTTAGTGTCAGAACTGAATTAATGAAACATTCAGTTGGTATAAGAAGTCCGTGTGAAAAATCTCCATTTGGTTTGTTTCCCTTTCCTATATACCACCAATACATTTTTTAGTGATCCATCTCTAAAGCATGTGGGACTTCAGTAACACATCCTGCACATCTGATTTTACCTTCTAGGTTTTTGTCCTGAATCATGGCCAGGCACATGCTGCATCACTGAGCTAAATCTCTGGCCCCTAGACCCGGGTTTTGATAAGCAAACTTTAAATGACTTGCTGCCTTATGCTTCTTTGTTAAATGAATATATACAATAAAAACAAATAATAAAAATAATTTTATTAAATATACAAAACACAGTTCAATCACTGTGACTTACAAACACCTGATACAGAGTATTTACAAACATATATATATATATATATATATATATATATGTATATATACAAGATTCCCACCTGTATGTAATTTCTGGTCCATTTGTGCTCTCAGGTCTTCAAAAAAACCTAAAATGTTAATATTTTACTAGTAAGCATTTATATATCTTTGCATTGATTCTTAATTGAAGTAATTACCAAAAAAAGATTCAAAAATATGGGATAATGCTGGAAACAAACTTGTAATAAAGTGCAGTTTGAGGCAACCTTAGCTATTCATTTTCTTCTTTTACACAGGTATCCACAGCCCATATGGGCTTTTTTTCTTATCTATTTTTGGTGATCCTGAAGATTTCTCTTCAGCAGCTGTGTTAGCTGTTTTCTGCATTGGTTTTGCTACAGAATTCTGTAAGACAAATAAAGTCAACTTACTTTTAAGCATAAACATTTTAGATATTTTGGTTTTCACAAAATCCACTAAGTAACCCCATCTAAGAGAGCTGAGGCAAAACAAGACTTTATTTTATAAAGTGATTCAATGTAACTGTGAAGCCAAGAAACCCAACAGTGTGACAACTGGGGTTTTGCTTTTTAAAGCAGGGTGTCAAAATGTTTTTCAAACTGGCCTCAAATTTGAACAATCTTCTCACCTAGCCTTCTGAATGCTGGGATTACAGTCATGCACCACCAAGTCTAGCTTTGCTTCTTAAGCTCTTAATTTATAACATTATTAGTTCAGTAAAAAGGGAGAAAGATTTAAAATAACCGCAAAGCTGGCTGGTGGTGTACACTTGTAATCCTAGCACTCAGGAGGCTGATGCAGGAAAACTTGCGAGTTCAAGGCCAACCTAGGTTACATAGAGTTCAAGGCCAGCCTGAACTGCATAATGAGAACCTATCTGAAAAATACATTACATAATGAGCAAAATGTTGAACTTAAAATCCTAGTATAAAGGGCTAAATGGGCCCCAAATTATTACAACAAAAAGAAAAAGCACATACAATGCAAATAATTTAATCCCAATTTCCAAGTAGTTAATGCTCGGATATACTTACATTAGCACTAAAAACTATGTTTTTTTGCTGGGAAGGTTTTTCATTGGAATTCTTAGCTCCACCTTCTGTTACCTTTTCTGACAGCTAGACAAGCAAAAGAGAGAAATTTAAAAAAAAAAAAAAAAAAAACTTGGTTTTTAAGTTCTATATAAACAGAATGGGCTCATTTTGTATAAATTTAGTCACAGATGCACCAATCAAATTGTAACTAACGTCACAGGGTTAACACCCTAACCTATTGTCATAGTAGGAACAAGGCACACTTCCTTGTACTTTATTCTCCTGCTGCAAATTCAAGTAACTCTCGAAAATAAAGTCATACCAAAAATTGCCTGGTTTCAAGAAACTAAGGCATCTACCAGTAGGATACCTAATGATCTGAGTAAGACCTTATACTACTTTTCTATTAGGAGTCAGTAGACCCACATTTGGGGGTTCAAGATAAAAGTTCATTTAGAAAGGGTATCTTCACTGGGTTTTTAATCAATCTCTACTTTAAACCTTTAAAGCTATCAATCCTAAATTTAAATTTCACATAACAAAAGTGTATACAGGGCAATTTGCCAATGCACACCCTGCAGATTTCTTGAGAATTGTGATAAACTTATCTGCATGTGAAGCAGGCTCTTCTTCTGTAATCTCTCAAAATATCTGGAATATATTGCATGTATTATAAAAGGGATATCTACCATTACAGAATGTACCTTCAGTTAATTTAAAAATTTTCTTTGGTAACCATACGTGAATAGTACCTGTCCCATAGTCTAGCATGCACATGGAACAACAACAATAGAAAAAAACCCTAAGTTTTTAGTGTGTGAATATAAACTTAGTTAAACCTCTGATGCTTTGGCCCATGTACCAATTACCAACAGATTTTCTTCATCAGTCTGGAGACCACATTCATGATTTCTATAAGACAGAAATAAAGCAGATAAACTATACTGTATGCTGAGTACATATCTGTGGGAACATAATGCTTCAAATGAAAACTAAAGAGAGAGTACTGTCTATGAATACTACAGTAAAAGCTTAACAGAAATCACTAAAATATCAACAATATCATAGCATTATAAAAGGCCTAACACGAGTCAACTGCCAATAAGTTTCACTTCCTCCCACTTTTGTGGTTATAATCCTGTACAGTATTGTCAGATCTAACATTTTGTTTTTGGCAAATAACATATGTGTATCTAGAACTCTAAGAAGTATAGTCTAGGCTGGGTGTGAGAGCACACACCTGTGTTCTGGGGGACTGCTTCGAGTTCAAGGTCAGCCTAAACTCCACAGTGAAACCCTGTCTCAAAGACCAAAAAAAGGGGGTGGGGGAGATGTGTAGTCTAAAGTAATGAAAATTGGCTAATGGGATGGTGGTTCATACCCGTAATTCACCACTCCAAAAGGCTGAAATAGGAGGGTTGCCAAATTTGAGCCCACACTACCTCAAAATAAAAGAGGAAAGAAAACACCAAAAAAGGCCAGAAAGGTAGGGAACACCATGAGGTTCAGGCCAGCCTAAATAAGACCCCATTTTGTTTTTTTTTAAGACTCCATTTCAAAAAAACAAAAATGGGTCTGCGGATGTAGCTCACAGTAGACCCTAGATTCAATTTCCTACTACCACCAAAACAAAAAAAGAACCACCACACACACACACAGACACACACACAATATTCTGCCAATAGCTTTTTTGTACTTTTTTCTTACAAATGTAAAATACTTACCTCAGATTTTGCACCAACACCTGCTACAGCTGCTCCATGGCTTATTTCTTTGACTACAGAAACAGTTCTGAGACTAGCAGGCAACTCAAAGTTAGTTGTTCCTAATGCTTTTGCTGCATTGGCTTTTGCAATTTCTAACAGCTCCATTCGATCTAAAAGAAGATTAAGACTTTCATTAATCCTGTGGCAGTTTTAAGAGGACTAAGACTCACTTCAGGGATTCAAAATTCTCTACCTAATATTTCCCTAAGAAAAGTAAGTGTTTGTAAATTATGTAATAATTCTTCAGTTTTCTGACCAAGAGCTGACATTATTCTTCACATTCAAATGTTAACTCCAAAACTTAAAACGAACAAACAAGTCAGTATTTTTTCAGCACTGGGAATCAAACCTATAGGCAGCCTACCGTTGAGCTCATCTACAGCCTTTTCTGAGTCTTATTAATTGCTCAGACTGTCCCTAAATCTGCAATCCTGCAGCCCCAACTCTCTCACTAACATTTAAAAGACTACACCTATCGATGGTAGGACAAGGTCTGTATTCCCAGCACTCTGGCAGTCTGAGGCAGGGTTGCAAATTCCAGCCCATCCTGGGCATGTCAGCAAATATTAAAGGGCATAGGTCAAAGTAAAGGCCCTAAAGGTCCAACTCCCAGTGCCGGAAACAAACAAATATAAAGAATGCATTAAAAACCTCATATATGGGACTTGTTTTTTAAAAAAAACTTTAATTCTAAAAAAAGAAAAACGTTCATTTAAATACTAGATCCCCAATTATATTGCAGTTTTTACTATTAGGCAGCTAAAGTCATCCCTCTTTCCCTAACAAGTAATCCCAGTATTAAAATTTCTGGCAACAAAGTAACTCACATTGCAACTACACATCTTTGGTTCCTGATAAAAGGGGGACGTTAACGGTGTGGCCCGTAACACAAATCACTCACCTTTTTCACTCAAACGAAAGGGGGTTCTGCTCCGTGACCTCGTCCTAGATCTCGATCTCTCTCTCCACCTGGCGCGCTCCTCTAGGTACCCAGTGCGACCGAAACCGTAGAACCGACGGCCCCGAGCGAGGGCGTAGTGCGACCTTCTGAAGTACGACCTCCCCCGGGAGCGCGAGCGGCTGCGCGAACGACTGCGTGAGCGGCGCGGCGAGGGAGACCGGAAATACCTGCGGGGCGGCGCGTAACGCCTCTCCCGGTAGCGGCGGCCGCGGGATCGGGACCGACTGCGCGAATAAGAGCGCGAGTAGCGCCTGTACTTCCGCTGGTGGCGCCTCCTCGAACGCGACCTCGATCGGCTCCTTCTCCGGGGTCGGCTGCGACTCCCGAAGGGCGAGCGGCTGGAGCCGCGGGGCTCGGAGCGGGAGCTTCGGGAAGAGGAGCGGCTCCCAGATCGCGAGGACAGCCGGCTGGACCCATCCGACCCGGGGACGGAAGGGGAGTCCTGCAGAGAGCCGGGCCACAGGTCGTTCATGTAGTTGGACATCTTCGCCCACGACCTACGCCTCTTTTTCTTTAGAAAAACTGTTCTCGCAAACCCAGCGGCACCTGAAAGCAAACAGCAAAGAGGAAAAAAAAATCAAGGCCCGGAAGTGGGTGCCAGTCGAACACCGCGGAAGGCGGAGCAAGGCAACAGCGTCCCAAAAATGCTACTCCGCGTCCAGGCGGCTGCGGCCAGCACAAACACGACCCTCTCACCCAGCTCCCGGCGCCACTAGCCTGGTGCTTTTCCAGCCGCCACTCATACGGGAGAAAATTAGGAATCTATCGTCTTAGCAAAACACTCACCGCAGGATTTCGACGCCCCTCAGAATGAAGAGAGAGGCCTAACAGTCGCCTAACTCGAAGCGTACTGACAGGAGCTTCGTATAAGCGTTCCCTAACAAAACCAGGACACCGTCCACTCCCGACGTCCGGGCGCGAACTGAAAAGGAAGTTCTCAAACACTACAAGAAAACACTAGAAATTGAGGCCTGGGGCATGCGCAGAAATGAGCGTGTGGGCGTAGCTATCCTCCCGTCCAATCAACGCCCTGATCTCTTCAGGCCCCACCCACATCCGCGCGCGAACACCTCAGGATGCGCATGCGTAATTTGGCTAGTGATGGCGCGGCTACATCCGGGTTTTCGTGTTTGTTTTGCGTTGCGAGGTCGCTAAAGGGCTTGGCTCCTAGCCAAAAACTTATGTAGCGCCGGGACAAGAAGCTTTACACCTGGCCACTGGGGCAGGCGGCCTGTGCCTTAGTGGATCCTTTCGGGACACTTCCTCTTATCCGAAATCCGGCGGATAGACATCACAGGGTTATGGAAAATGTTGATTTTTTTTTCTTTGATGTTTTGGCCAGAGAAGGTAATTAAAAGAGACAGAAAAATGCAAAGACAACCGTAGTAAATCTTTAAGGGAAAAGAATTATGCCTGCGGTGTCCATTCTTAGGACAGTACGCTTGGCGTAGGAACGACGATTACTGTTGTCAGGGAATTAAAATATAGCGCATTCCAAACATTAATGTGTTGAAAATTGTGGATTAGGGGCTGGGGATTTAGCTCAGCGACATAAGCGCCTGCCTTGCAAGCAGGCAGTTGTGAGTTTGATCCCTGGTACCGATAAAAACGAAAAAGGCAAAAAAAAAAAAAAAAAAGAAAATTGTGGATTAAAAGTATTTGTTGAATGAACTACAGTAAAGAGTGTTAGTCATTGCATACACTCTTATAAGTGCATTTTTACAAAAGGCGCTAAAAGCACTTATCCCTTGTTTATCTCCACTCCACACCCTTAAACATGCACGGAAACGGACAGAATTTTGTAACAGACATCTGCATCCGCCGATGTGATCTCCCTTACTGTCATCCACATCGCTTGAGGATGCATCATAATCCACTTTCCCCCAGCACCTCGCCGCGCGCTGGGGATTGAACCCAGGGAGCACTGAGCCAAATCTCCAACATTTTTCTTTTTAAGTTTCCAGATAAGCTGGGGTGAGGGGTGGTGGTGTGAGTGAATGTTCCTCCAGCTAGCCTTGAACTTGGCAGTCCTCTTTCTTCCATCCTACTCTGCTGAAACGTTTCTTTCGTAAATTCACAAGCTAAAATACAGGGTCCACCGCCAGGACGTTTTGCTGAAGGTTCTCATGAAACTGAGTGAAGAGAAAAATTATGAGTTTCGCCTTTAGAAGGCAAAAAATATGTTAGGGAAAGTAAAATGAAACTATGTGTTATGGTTTGGTTCCAGAATGAACCCCTAAAGGTTCAGAGGTGAGGCTTTTGGAAGGTGACTGGATCATGATGGCTCTAAATCAGTGGAATTAATCCACCAATTATATTATAATCCATCATAATTTGATGGCATTATTTGGGGGTAATAGGCATTTAGGAGTTGTAGTCTAGTGGAAGGGAGTGAGTCACGAAGGCATGACCTTGCCCTACTGGACTGTGTCCCCCAGCTCCTTTGGGCTCTCTGCCTCCTGGCTGCTAAGAGCTAAGCAGCTTTCTCCTGCCGTAACCCTCCTACCATGTTTTTCTGTCATACATATGGGTAAAAGCAATATGAAGCCAGCTGACAATGGTTTGTCTCTTAATTTTCTTTTTTGGGGGGGGAATTTTTTGAAACAGAGTCTCACTATGCAGTAGAGGCCTGCCTTGAACTCATGTGTAACCCAGGCTGGCCTCAAACTCAGGGGGATTCTCTTGCCTCAGCCTGGCAGGTAATGGGGACTATAGGCAGGTGCCACCATGCCCAGCTGTGAGCTGAAAATGGACTGAAATTGTGAGACAAAAATCTTTAAACTGATTTTCTTAGGTATTTAATCAGAGTGACAGAAATTTGGAGGTCTTGATTATGAATAAGAAAAGGATAATAGAAGTCTCTTTAGACTTTTTTTTTGTTGTTGTCTTTTTCCTTTTTATCAGTACGGGGGATCAAACTCACGACTGCCTGCTTGCAAGGCAGGCGCTTATGCTGCTGAGCTAAATCCCCAGCCCCGTTTTTTTTTTTTGAGACAGGATTTCACTATTATACCCTAGGCTCACCTCAAATGAGCAGTGATCCTTTGCCTCAATTTCCTGAATCGTGCCATCATAGGTGTGTGCCACTACACTTGGCTTAGTTCATAGTGTCAGTCAAATGTATACCTAAAAAATGATGATCAAAAAAATCTAGGATATTAATGGACATTAGAAACAATGGAAATACTATTTTATCTTTGTGCAGAATACAGGTATGTTACACATTTCTATAACATATGAAGTCTACCTGAGTTAAAAGTTTGCAAGGGATTTTAGAGTATAGCTGTATATAACATAATATTTTCTGAGCATCTCTCTACTTAGTGGAAGGAAAAATCCAACTTCAGTTATGATACCACATCCAGCATGGAATTGGTAGGCTAATTTATGCAGAAATGCAATCTTTACAATGGGGATTCTTCTTCTTTAAAAATGTGACTTTCTTTTCTTAATGTCCTTTACTATGATGGACTAATACCATGTCCCCCAAAATAACCAAGCCTAATTCCCTGGAACCAATGAACATGTCACCTTAACATGTCAAAAGGAATTTTGCACATATAATTAAAGGACTTGGAGATGACATTATCCTAAAGTATGTGGATGAGCCCTAACTAGTCACCGGTGATAGTCAAAGCATGAGAAGAATTCCACATCCTGTTGCTATTTCTGAAAGGTATTAAGCTGTGTGCAAGAACCAGAGAGCGGCCTCTGGGAGATAAAGGTAACTCCTAGCTATCGGTCAACCAGGAAACATAGTTAACCTTGTCCAACTTAATTCTGCCAGTCTCTCAGGGCAAGTGTTGGGGCTTCTTAGAGTCTTCAAGAAGGAATGTAGCCCTGCTGATACTTTGACTTTAGCCCAGTGAGACATGTCATATACAGAACTGTAAGACAATACATTTGAATTGTTTTAAGCTGCTAAGATTGTGGTGGTTAACCACAGCAATACAAAACTAATATGTTCAGTAAAATTGCACAGCTTTTTCATATATGCTTCAATGTCACTGCATGTTGTGAACAGCACCTTTTTGTTGTTGCATGTTAAAAAATGTTTAATGTGTTTCAATAGGTGAATGATTCTTCATTTGGTATCATTGAGTAACACTTGGTTTTTACTATGGGCGTAAAAGGTGTTTTTCTTTTAACAGGTAAATTCAGTGCTTTTACATTTATTAAACATTTTACATTTATTAAACAACTACAAAGTGGCCTTATCTCTTCCATTGGTGTAGATTTTTAAAATTATACTCAGCTTTTTCCATTTTTCCCATTTCATTTTGCCAGCCTACACAAGTATCTCTTGCCCTCACGTCACCGTTCATTTACAAGTTCTACATTGCTACATCATTCCGTTAAACTTTTTGTATCTCTACCAAATATAGTTAAACCTGTTTCTCAGCCCCTCCTGTTTCTACCTTTCTCAAATATTTTTAGAATGTTTATAGTATTGGATGAGTACAATTGGAGAGGCTAAGAAAAATTTAGTCATCCTTTACCCAAACAAAATTAATTTTAAAAAATTTTAATAAATAAAAAAATTTTAACAAGTAGAGGAACATGAACAAGTATAATGTAAAAATAATCCATTCCATTAGCAGTATGAAATCCTCTGGAAATTTCCATCCTTAGAGATAACCAATGTGACATTTTACTATTCATTTATTTTTAGTTCTAGGGCTTGATCCTAAGACAGTGGTGGCACATGTGCCACATGGACTGTAACACTGAAAGCTGTAAAAGATTGACCATCGCTGACCTAGATTCTTCACACTTCTCTGCCCTATTTTTTTTTTTCAATGTTAAGACAGAATCTCATTAAATTGCCCAGGCTGGGCTCAAACTTGCAGGCTTCTTGCCTCGCCCTCCAAGTCCTGGGATCACAGATCTGCATACCCATAACCCAGCTGTTACTCCTTGTTTCTTCATGGACTTGTGCTTGATTTTCAGTTTTTCACCAACAATTATGCCTCAGAAACATCCAAAGATATCAAAGCAGTGGTGGAGTTTATGAGCAGTTCCTAACCCACATGCTCCACAGAGCTCTATGAAGTACTCAGCCTATGCCTCCTCCGCAACTCCCTGGGGCGCAGCGGTGGGCGGGAACAACTAGCCAGCGCAATTTGATCAGGCTGTGGCTGGCAGGCAGGGAAGCCGGGCCTCCTGTGTAAGATTACATTTTATAAGGAACAGAAAATATGGGGAAGGGAAGCAACAAAAAAGGCTCCTCGACCCCCAATCCTGAGAATCAGGCAATTGTGGACACTGCACCAATATACATTAAGCGCCATTTAGAGAGCCTCATAGACCAATTCAGGAATGAAGTTATCAATGACCTGAAGCTAGAAGTATGCAGAATAGTTAGAGAAATGCTAAGCACCACCCAGGAAAAAGCAGATGGTGGAATAGAAGAACAGAAAAAGAGGGGAGAATTGCTTGATGGAGAAAACAGAGAAAGCATTGAGTATGTGAAGCAGGTGCAAAGGGACTATCAAGAAATTAAGAAGTCTACCCAAGACTGGCATAACAGCTTGAAAGAAACTAAGGACAGACTATTTGAATTGGAGGGCAGACTTGAAACATGGGAGAATGAAATGAAAAACTTCTTAAAAATAACAAAGAAACACACAGCAATAATACAAAGACAAGAAGATGATAAGAGGAGCCATAACTTAAGGATTAAGAACATAAAAGAAGAAGTAGGGACACAAACAAGTGAACTACAAAAGCTACTCACAGAAATAATCCAGGAGAATTTTCCTAATCTAGCAAAAGGTAAAGATACTCAAATGTATGAGGCATACAGGACCCCAGCTACCTACAACCCTAACAGAGAAACACCCAGGCATATAATAATAAAAATTCCAGAAATTCAATACAAGAACAGAATATTAAAAGCTGTAAGAGACAAGAAACAGATCACTTACAAGGGAAGACCCATCAGAATTACAGCAGATTTCTCTTCACAAACCATCAAATCACGAAGAGCATGG